CACTGGTCACCATAGCCGGTCGATCTCAAGACGAATCTAGAACCACACTACCGTTCATACTGGCGACAACGCTCTGATGAGGCAACGATACCCTACTCCCAAGCTCCTCCCCTTTTCCTATTCTTCGACAATGTACCTCTCTAACCTCGAGTAAGCCGCGAGTATCCGGCCCAACTCCTACTAGACATAGAATTAAGTGAATTTTGTTACAAACAAAGAACAATGAATTATCGGCTCCGTAAAGTGATAAGTCTTTTCAATGAAAACGTCAACTAAACCGTTTGTTTACATCAGAATAAGGATTTTCCACAATGAAAATTAAAGCATTTTTCATTGAATATTTTGCCAATTTCCATCGGTAGTTGTCTTATTTTACAATTTTCCTCAGATCTGTACTGATTTGTACCTCAACTATTCACACACAAGAAATCCGGAAGATCGTAAACACCAAGGCACTATTCTAATTTTCCATTTTTCACAACAAAAATATTCATGAATACCAGCAGGATCCTTGCAAAAACAAGGCTGAATTTAATTTTTCAACTCTAGATCAAGTTTTTGAGCATCTCAGGTGAATCAATTGATCAGAAAAAGTGAAAAAGTTTTCCGCTTCCTAAGGCAAATATACTGCTCAAAACACTTTTTCTGACGTTCCCTTATTCACCACCTGAGGTTGAATCGATCACTTAGTGTCTATTAAAAAGGCGTATCAGAGATTTTATGCCTCAGAAAATCCCGGTGGTGCCGACTGGGATACACCTTTCAAATGCACCACCAACGTAGAGTGCGCCACGTGAGTTCGAGAAGAAACGTCAACCAAACCGTTTGTTTACATCAGAATAAGTATTTTCCCCAACGCAAATAACAGCATTTTTCGTTCAAAATCTTGCAATTTTCCATCGGTAATTGTCTTATTGTACGATTTTCCACAAATCTGAACTGATTTGCACCTTAACTATTCACACACAAGAAATCCGGAAGATCAGAACCACTAAGGCACTTTAATAATTTTGCATTTTTCTCAACAAAAATATTCCTGAACACCAGCAGGATATTTTCAAAAACGTTACAGAATTAAATTTTTCAACTGTAGACTAAGTTTTGCAGCATCTCAGAAGAATCAATTTATCAGGAAAAGTAAAAAAGTGTTCCGCTTCCTATGTCTCAAGGCAACAATTTATGCTCACAAAACTCTTTTTGACGTTCTCCTATTCACCACCAGAGGTTAATAGATCGTTTAGTTTCTATTAAAAAGGCCTATTGAACCCAGGACCTTTGGGATGAGAGGTAATCACGCTTACCACTACACCACCGGCGCTGCTTGAGAATTTTATATATTTCGTTCGATGTTTCATGTTGATATTAGTAAAGCATTTTCCTTTCAACTTTGTAATAGGCGAATCCAATAGAAACTAAGCGATTGTTTCAGCCTCTGGCGGTGAATAGGGGAACCCTCAAAAGAGTGATGAGGGTAGAAATTTTCACCGTAAAGCATACACGGCGAATGAGAACGACTCAAATTTGAGTTTAGTTCACTCATAATCGCCAAAAGTGCAGGAACTCAGCGATGAGTTAATTTGCCTCATGTTTTCCCAGGTTTTTCCAGGATTTTCATGGGAAAAATTCCCGAATACGAGAAAAGTAAAGATTGGATTCACTCAGTCTATTGGTACTACTCCGAGACTGAATAAAATTTTCGTCAATTTCCTAATTTTCCGGCAGATTTTTTAGGTTTTCCACAGGAAACCATGAGACAAATTTTGCTCATCGCTGAGTTCCTGCACTTTTGGCGATTATGAGTGAACTAAACTCAAATTTGAGTCGTTCTCATTCACCGTGTATAGGAAAAGAAAATATTTTCACCTTTCCTTTGCACCGTATGTTTTTTTTTCCTTTGGTTTGTTTTTTTCCGTCGATCTTGTTTTCCGTGCTGAGCACCAATGCTACCGACGTGCCAGGAAGGCAGCTCCCACACCTGGACCCTACCTATCGACCCATCAACTCATGAACCGGGGACCAACGGCTTTACTTCCCATCCGAAGGAAGGCGTGATCAGAGATGTTATGCCTCAGAACATCCCGGCGGCGCCGACTGGGATTGAACGCAGGCCTGCTGGGGTGAGAGGTAATCACGCTTACCACTACACCACCGGCGCCGTTTATCCACCGCATGTGCTTGAAATCATCATCCACGTGGAATATTTTGTTTTCTGCATCGGGTTTGCAGTGATTAGGCTGGTGCTTCCATATATTTTTGATGAGAAAAATTTAGATTTATAAAACTTGCCCAGCGGTTATGATCTTCCGGATTTTTAATGTGTGGTTATTTCAGCTGTAAATCAGTTCAGATCTGTAGATAATCGAAAAATAAGACCAACTGATGAAAAAGACAAACATGGGGGTACACCGATGGGCAGCTAACAACTTGGGAGAACACAAGATGACACTAACTACTAAATCCTCAGATCTATCCGTTTTAAAAACACATAAATTAAATTGCAATAGTCGAGATCTCGGCTCGCCAAGATGTCTCTAACGGGCCGCATAGGTTGTTTTCCTCGGGCCTTGAGGGATGCGATAACTCGGATCTAGCAACACAATGGAGGGTGCATGACTAAAGCACGTGGTCGATATCGTGATAGCCACTACCACAAGCGCACACGCATGAAGGTCTTCTGCCTGCAGTTAAGATACACGCTATTTCAAAACTACCCTTATTTGGGTAGAATCCACCCAGATTGGTCAAAACTGAACCTACCCAAAAATGGGTAAACTGTGTTGGGAGTTACAAGTTGACAAATGAACAACGTCGATCAGATTCATGTCGATGTTCTTCATTTATCAACTTGTCATTTCAAACACAGTTTACCCATTTTTGGGTAGGTTCAGTTTTTACCGATATGGGTGGATTTTACCCAAATTAGGATAGTTTTGAAATAGCGTGTAGGCTGCGTGCTATAATAGTGTGAGTGCGCATAGAAAGCCCGTGTGGAATTTGCTTGCACTTCCCCTTCTGGTCTGTGACCTTACCCTATTGCTTCTCTCCGAGATGGCTACGTTGGTCATGACGAGAGAGCGAACAATTATTAACTTTTATAGGGGAAATGGCCTAATGTTGGCCTATTGGGCCCATCGCTAAAAATCTGATATTTATCAATTTTATCTAGATGAACGCAACATTGGGACGGTAGGGTAGAGCGCTACTTCGTCGCAATCGCCCATTTCCGTTCTATCGATCAGAAAAGATCAATAATATCAATGATTTCACCGTGCATAAAGCAATATTAGGTTTGTTCCGATGCGTTAGTTCATTAGCTACAACATAAATCCTGTTAGAGCGCATTGTATGAATATTTACGCTCATTGTTCTCAAAACAAAAGAAGTGCTCCTAGCGTATCCCCCCGTTCGACGAAGAAAATCTAATAGTGTTTTAATACGTTAGGTCGGAATTGAAACTCGTAGAACGAATTTAGAATCAAGAAGCAGTCTTAGATTTTTAACAATATCTCAACAATGTGTGACTCTTTATCAAATCCAACGGTACGTATGGAAAGGTGAATAAATTTAAAAGTCATCTTTGACAGAAATATGCTATTTTTTGTTTAAACTCGTTCAGAAAAGAGAGGGTAAAGCGCGGTTTGTGCTTGGTAGGACGGATATTAGATCAAAAACCCAACTTATAACTATTTTGGTCGCTATCGAAAATTTAGTCGATTGCTGAATTTATGTATGGGCCCAAATTAGGGGCATTTAGGCCGACATTGCATCCATTCCCCCTATCATCAAATATTTTGGTATATTAATTCAAGTTGTTCTGCCCATAGCTTTCGACTATAATAATTTGTATCTAAAAATACACCCTACGATTTTTTTTTTAATTTGTCCAGAGATGCAGGATGGTCCGACAGGTCATGGTAGATTGAGGCATGGTTCGTGTAAGTAGTATTTGTTTCTTTACAAATTACTTCTTCAACATTTATCAGTTGAATAAACATAGGATTCATGAATAAATAAAAATAATTTCACTAAATCTTCGAAATTTATTCCGCAATGTATTCGGTTCATTACCCAAGCCTGATTTTCCTGGGGGGGGACGTGCTGTCAAATCAGCCTACTGATCATCTTGTATGAAACTGGTTCCAAACGTAAACAAACGCTGTAGGTTTCTTATGGCTCAATTTATCTCTAAAAACAGAAAAAACTTGTAGTATTTTATTTGTTTTTCCGTTTACCTAGTAGTTAGGGAATCCTCGCTTTCCACATACTCATATGCTCATTCCATATTCCATTTTATCTTATGAATAAATAGTTTTTATTTCCGCTTCATACATACATTTGCACATTCTAGCACCCCTTTGTCTATCATTTGTCGTATATTCATCGGTAATTTGCGTAAATTACATGCACCCTGGATCCGAGGGAGATTGTTCTGCATCGAATAGCACGCGCACGTTCATTCACTTATTGTCGGAAATTATTCTCTCCTAGGAATATTGTAAGTAAGCTTCCTTTCTCCGATTGAGGAAGGACCAAAGCAGGAACCGAGAAGAAGGAGCACTGACTGACTGCATAGTTGGTTTACTACATACTATTACTAGCAAGGCAGAAATCAGATGATTTGATTGGATTTGAAATAGAGTGGAGTTGGAACAAGAGTCTCTACTACGGGAACAGATTTACATCTACGGGAATTAAAGCTTGGAGATGGTAGAGATAGTGTTACTTTGTGATGCTTTGAGCTTGGTATTTTTATTTTTGTGAAAATTAATACGGAAAGGATGCCGCAAGGAAGACATTTGTTATTAGCTCTCGTTCTAATACCGGCTAACTACTACTTTAGGTCGATTGATCTTACCTTTTACAAACTTACTTAGTTTTTGCATGATTATAAATATCTTACCGGTGCACTTAAGGTGAGTCAAAAACTTTTTTGTTTCGTTTAACAACTATTTTAATAATTTAAAATAAAAATGTCATCAACACTTCGTAACCGATACGAATCAAACAAGATTGGAAAACTTATTCAACTCATAAGAACTGAACAAAATTTGTGTAGAGGAGTGTGATCAGGGAGTGCGAGGCAAGAAGAAAAGAAAACGCAATTTTCGTTTTTCAATAGTCATCCTTTTGGATGATAAATGCATTCACATTTTATATTTTTATTGATCCGTTTCGTCTATCGTTTACTTTTCAATAATAAAAAAAGATTATTTCTTAGCAGTAGTTTACTGTAAAAATGATATTTTTCTTCTCAGTACTTGTTCATCTACTACTTAGCAATACTATTCTGTTATTACTCTCTTCTGTACAGAAACAAAAATCTATAATACAATCTACTTATCAGTTAGAGTATAAATACGGCGTATGATACATAATACCATTTTTTTAGTCCATTCTTATTTTTGCGGTTAAAATTTTTTGCTTTAATTTGTGTGTGCCTTAAAACTGACTCGCATTTGAAACCTACACCAATACGAAGGGGGTTCGACTTTGTTTTTCATTCTTTCGTTGAAAACCATGTTCATTGACATTCAGTAGTCAATGGAAATGTTTTCCGATCCCGTTCGTTCGATTCTTGATACACGTATTCTAGAAAAGGAAACAAAATCAAAATAAATATTTGTCTGTTTCCGAAATCAATTGCTACCTAGAGAATCAATGTACAAGTTTTCCGTTTGTTCTGTCTTTAGCAATAAAGTTTACAGTACAAGCATTTTAATTGCAATTTCGTTCGATTGTGTTCTTGCGAAAGATCTCCGTCAATCAGTTAATTATTCAACGTGTTTTGCAACCGTGTGCACTTCTTTCATTCTTTCCTCTGATTGTTGATGTTGTGTTGCTTTCGGAATCGAACGGTAGGTAACCCTTCGGCGAGTGACGAGACGAATAAATGAAATTCATCGACATTAAAGATGGCCGTTGAGGTTATGTTCGATTCCGAAAAATGTTTTCATATTTATGTTTCGTTTTTGTCCTGCGGTGTGCGTGTATGTCAACGTGGCTGTGTATGCATGTATGTGTGAAAAGTGGGTGACACCGTGTGGCTGTTCATCAATAGGTGGGAAAATAATAAATTGGATTCGAAAAAATAAATCAAATTTATGCAGAAAATATGCGATAATTTAAATTAAACTCGACCTTTAATTTATGAATTTAAGACAAATGAAAAAATTGGATCTGATTTTTTCCTACTTACGATCCATAATCCGGAAAGTGCGTTCATGTTAATAATTAAAAATGTATAAACATGAATATTGAATACTTTTTGGTTCTCGTTCTCCGACAAACTGCCGCGGCGATGCGTGGTTATGTTCCCCAGAAGGTTCACCGAACGCCCTCTCCTGCGCTGGCACAGGGACTCACACGTGTGCTCCTCCTGATGATTGATGGCGGTTTTTCGTCTCTTCAATAATAGTTAACTTTTATCGATATCGAATTTAATATAATACTTTTTAATGCATTTATCGCTTGCAGTACAATGCTATCAATAATTCATAACAAATGGCAATCATTCATTAAATTCAATACTATACACACGCGCTCGTTGCAATGTTTCACAATTAAAAAAAAAATCTTGGTACGATGTTGTTGCCGTGGTTACAAAAAAAAAAAAGAATGGCATTGTAGACCGAACATTCACCATTTACCTCCAGCTGGGTCGAATTTTATCGGGTTACCTTGGTTGCAACTGCGTCAGCTGGCCAACCTCCAGTGCCCTCTTGGATCATGGCAATGGTCATCTGTTGCACACATACACACACACACAACCACGCATATACACATAAAACGAACTCTTGTTTTTTTGCGTTGAATAATTAAACGATTATCACTAGTTGCCGATTTTAATTAATTAATGACTCATAAAACCGGATGATACTTTTCGGTGAGTTGTTCTTTTTTGTAGTTTGATCCCATTCATGGGATATTCTTTTGTCTATGGTTGATTCAATCCAATAATTAGTTCGTTTTTTTTTTGTGTAAAACACTTGTCTCTGTTAAATTATGCTCATTTTACCCTTACAACTGGATCACAATAACGTTGTATTTCTGTTATCTTTCTTAACTATAATTCGATAGAGTCATGTTCCATACTTTTAGTCTCGTCTCGTCTTGATTGTTCCGCTTCGAGGAAGAGGGGTTGGCTAGCACACATGAGTTCCCGCCTCGTGTCATGAGTGTTTGAATGAGTGTGTGCCTCTTTTCCTCGGATATTTGTCTTTGCAGCTCTTTAACAATTTATTAGGTTTCATAAATTCGTTCATTTCTCACTTGCTTTGCTCAGTGTGCTTGTTCACCATCTTCGTCTTCATTTCTTCTTCTTCTTCATCTTCTTAAATGTGATGAAAGTATTCACTATAAAAGTTGGAAAGAAGTGATGAGGCAATGTTAGTTTCATATGCTTTTTTTCTACAGCCTAACATTCAGAACCATGAGTAACTTAAAGTTTCGATCTAAATTAGGAATACTATACCGAAAATATAATTTAATTTCGTTTTTTTTCATGATCACACCAATTACATAATGTACATAGAATAAAAAAAAATACCAACTTTAATAAACACTCATGAATGAACTGATAGGAAATAAAAAAACAAAATCCAACTTTAAGCATATGAAATCATACGATGCTCGCAAGACAAAACGAAAGACGATGCCACATTTAAAGATGTCCTCGAAAATAATAATATAACACTCAAAATGGTGAACAATCATGATGATCATGATGATAGTGCTGATGTGGCTTTGGAAGCGCTAGAACTTGTGTGTTGGTTAAAAGGAAGCTGTTGGTCTGTACCCGAGATTTTTCCGCTGCAGAAACAGGTGGATTTCGCGGAAGTTGGGTCGGCTATTTTCGTTGCGCTGCCAGCACTCACACATCAGGTCGTAGATCTCCCGCGGGCAACCAACCGGGATCGGAAGTTGGATCTGAAAGAGGAAAAGAGTGTACGAAAAAATAGTGTTACAAGTTTTCCAAATTTGTGGCACTGGAGGCTCTCGTTAAGGACTTGGGAAAACTACTGAATGAAGACACTAAGAACTCTAAGAAGACATTAACACAAATCATTGTTGGTGACACTTGTAGGTGTGCCAGTAAGCAACGGATGATGCTATATAACGTTGTAGTAGTACGTAAAGGGTGGAACGGTAAAAAATTGGTCAATCATGATTAAGTGCACACTGATTATGTTATTGTATAATTAATCAAACTTTATGTCTTTTTGAAGTTCAATTATTACAAAATACAGGAAAATTATTTGATTAGGCTTCCGATTTTCCAAATGCGAACTGTCGGGCTGTACGTTCCACACCTTCCATCACGACTTGCACGTTGTTTCCGTAGTGACAGGAAGCGAGGTCTAGCCAAAACAGCACGGAACAACTGTTTTTATTCAGAAAAGGCAACATTAGTTTTTACAAACATATCTTTTCATAAATATCTTGGTTGACCATGCCAGTTGTCACGAAAATTTTGCTTTTCAGCCCACAGGTGCAAATTATCTGCCTAACCAAGTATTTTTTCGGGAACTTTGACAACTTTTTCTGCTTAAACTTATCTTGAAGATTACCTTTTCTGGTAGCCATGTACACTCTTGACCTGGGAGCTGCTTGAAATTCACCTTGAAGTATATTTCATCGTTCATTATAACGCAATCAAATTTCTGACGCAATCAATTTGTGTGGGAATAATTTGGATTTATAGCTGTTCCTCTTGGTTTGATGCCATTTCGACAACTGAATGGAAAATGGCAAAAATAAAATATAGGTTACATTCCGAATGCACAGACCTGCACAATTAGTGGTGTTCATGTTTTTTAAATGCACGATTTAAACAAAATTGTCAAATTTGAGTCGACCAATTTTTTACCGTTCCACCTTTTAGGTTGTAAATAGATTGACTTTGGCTAGACCAGTGGTTAAGTGGTAATTGCGACTACTTTTTCAAACCCAGCTGTCGTTAGGATTTTTCTGAGGCAAGCAAATCTCTGGTTGCGTCTTCCTTCGGAAGGAAAGTACAGCCGTTGGTCCCATCCCATGTGTTGATGGGTTTGATAAGTGCCACGTGTGGAAGTCGATAAGTACCATGTGCAAATTGTGTATTGGCTAGAAAAACAGACTCTGTTTGGAATCAATCACACAATTGTCAAAGTATAAGTTCTTTGAAAATAGAAAAATCGCCCATGAATTTAGTGATTTTGAAATTTTTATTTGATGCCAAACGACTTAAAAATGTATGAAACATCGAGATGTAGTATTATCTTTATTTGATTTTGTCTAGGATCGTTTTTCATGAGTTATAGGAGAGATATGCAGATATAAATTGGCTTCTAAACACATCAAAACAAATGAAATGGAAAACAAGATATGTGGTAATCATATTATATTGGAGGAGTGTCCAGTGTCCAGTTTTTGAATGGGACCAAAACCCATTTTGCGACACATCAAGTCACATAGAATTCAAAAACCAGTTCAACGGTAGCCACTTAAGAGCCCAGGACAACAATAATAACATTCGGACATGTTCTGGGTATTCCCGGGGAAGTGGCCATCTTATGGCTTTGAGTAAAACTTATTCTGCGATATCTCAAATCTCATGCGTATTAAAAAAAATCTAGTTAAATGATAGTTATATCAAGTGCCAAGGACCACATTGATCACATCCGGGTTGTTCCGGGTACCCCCGATGCAGCATCTCAAATATTGGTTGTCATATCGAATCTTCAGGATCACATTGGCACCATCAGTTCGTATCATTGCTTCAAAATATGAACCTGTGCAAAAAGTGGTAAATATTGATTTGGTTTAGAGGTTACGCAAATGATTTGTAATTTTTACGAGAATTACTATGGAAGAATTTTAAGGTGATTCTTTGTAGAGTGCACAAATTACCGCCACGTTGGCTATACAACCACTTCCACTTTGAATTTGCAATCACACAAATCTCGGAAATCAATGCCCCATATCACCTGAAATTGCTACTTCATGTATGCTACAGTACATCAAACGTGGAGTAACAGTTTCATTGTGGTACGTGTCGTGGAAGCTGATATTTGTGCACTTCGACAGTGAGCATGCATAAGGGCCTATACGCGATGATCGATTCTCTTCGTCGATTTTCTCTTTTGTTAATAACTCGCTAGATTTAACGTTTCTCGGTGCGTTTGCTGTTGCTTTTGATAGCCAATACAACCTGTTACTACTCTGCATTGAACAAATTCTTGAAAATTGTTTCGCTTAGCTGTAGCAATGCAAAGAGAAAATCGATGAAGAGAATCGATCATCGCGTATTCGCCCTTATGAATGCTCACTGTCGACTTAAAGTTTCGAAGTGGTTACGAGAATTAGGATCTCACAGCGAAACACGTTAAAAGTCACTAATATCGCTGTAACTTTGTTTCTACATGCCCAAATGTAGAACAAAAATTAATTAGTTTGTTGCTATGCAATGTCCAAAAAATATGTTGTTGTTACGATGAGTTTTACAGTATATCAAAAAGAATAGAAATGCGACAAAATGACGAATGCATATGTGCAAGACACAAACGCCAATTTCATCACAACAACAATGAGCTAGTTGCTCATTGCCATGACAACCACAAATAATTTTTTTTTCAACGGTTGGACAACTACCACTAAGGTTAGAGCAATGTATTGTGGTTTCTATGACTATTTAGACTTTCTCAACGAAATGTGGAAGCTGCCTAAATCTTCTGTTGCTTTTGAAACTCTTACCATCTCAGCTTTTTTTGACGTTTTCGCGCGCAAACAGCTTCACCAGCTGGATTTGTTATGTAAACATGGGAACAGGGGGGTCAACAGTAAACTCACGGAAGAGGATTAACCAGCTGGTTTGGAACAAAGGAGCCAAAAGTAAACATCAGAAGAAATGTCATGGAAACCAGGCGTTATTTATGTTCCAAGGTGGGATTGGTGAGAGCGAAATCGAAAGCGAAATTTGAGAACGACGACATTAAAATCACTCATGTCAAAATAAAGAAAAACTTCGCAATAAGTGACATTAAATAATTTCCCATACTAGTTCAACGAAATCTCCATACAATGGCTTAAACGAGTTTGCTGAGTGAATGGATGTTATTTCTCCATATAAACTTTAAGCCGAAAGCGCCAGCTCTTGTTACATCCGAATAAGCTGAAATTTTCAGTGAGTGCTTTTCTCACCTAATGGCACAAATCTGGGGGTTGGCCCGTTGAAAAAAAATGATTAAAAAATCTTCCATATAAATGTGGGCCAGTCTGAGGCCTATGTTTAGCTGCTCAGTCCCAAGGTCACTACAATGTTAATCCGAAATCAGTCAGGAGTACAAATTAGCTCAAATCCCTTTAATTTTCGTGTATGTATTCCTAATGCCAGTTCGTATAGTACCATTCATATTCACCGTTCTAATTTAATCCTATACGTATGATCTTTCCGAGTCATTAACATATTTTTGTCAAAGATAGATGTGTTTGATGCGTCACATCATATGAATCAGTAAATATGATTCAGAACTGATTCTGAAGGAGCTGGTCCGAGATCCGTAAACGGCAATATGACTCTCGAAGAAACCTGAGATGAGCATTATTTGTTTGTCACATGAAAGTTTCCCTCCTGAAATTATTTTCTAGAACCGATTCTGGTGGACCCGGAATGAACTCATGATCGTTCTTTGATCTCCAATTTGTGGTGAGGCCTAAGATTAGCTAAATTCGCTTTCTTGAATCAAATCAAATTGAAACAGATCAGTCAGCAGTTAAATATCAAATCAATAGTAATATAAATAAACTCGGTCAACTGCATAAAATGTAATGCGTCAAAAAATATGTTGGAAAATAGAGGAAATGGATGTAATGTCGGTCCAAATGCCGCTAATTTGGGCTCATACATAAATTCTGCAATCGACTAAATTTTCAATAGCGACCAAAAATATCCATTAGTGCCGCCTCAATGGCGCGTTCATCTGGATAAAATTGATAAATAGCAGATTTTTAGCGATGGGTCTAATCTTAGATCCATAGACCAACATTAGAGTCATTTACCTTAGCTGGTAAAATAACTATTTTCTGTTTTGTCAAATATTTACCAAATATCAGACAACGACTCATTTCATTTACTTTTCTATCCCGTGTATTATATTTCCAGTGGATGCCATTAATAGTATCGTCATGGACATCTACAAAATTTAATGCACAGTCCAGTCCAGGCCTAGCCGCTATAGTGTTTGTTTCACATCCCTGATGTGCGGCAATCATTGACATTGACAAGAAAATGTAATTCTATCATTTTCCAGGATTCTTTCAAGTACTTGCTGTGTCCGTGTAGACTAAACTAGGCTTGTTACCGCCGATAATGACTTTAGCAGAGAAATCCAAAGTTGAATTGTGAAAGGGAATCGGGCTTACTTTGAACTCCGAAGGATGTTCTGCTCGAATAAAGCTTGTCGCCGCTCGAAGTTGACTAATTACAAAACGCTGAGTAAACCGATAGTGCTCTACGAGACCTGGGCATGACAATATGTTTACATCTTTCTGAAAGATATCAACAAATAAATGCAGGCAAATTTCTTCCTTTAAAACATTGCCGGGCAGTTGTAGATTTATTGCGTTTTTTAAATTGTATAACGCTTAAAAAAACCAAAGAATCTGCTTTTTCCTAGACCAGTAACATTCTATTCGCAACAACGAATAACCACGAATCAACAGCAAAAAAAAAAAATGATCAAAATTGCTCCGATGCCTGTTCGCTAGAGCACAAAACAATGTGGATTTGAATGTTTCACCTCACAAGAGCGGCACAATTTTTTTTATTGAGATAGCGACGCAAGACAGAATTCAATTTTCCCCTAATTTCTGGAAGGTTTCCCTCGTCCTTCGACATCGGCTGAATCGCACCCCTTGGCTCAAGCAGCGCGAAAGTATATCAGATTCAA